ATGGAAAAATTGGTTAACTGAATGGAATTGGAATGAAATTGAAATGAAACATTGTAATGAAACAGTGGAATGGAATTGGAATTCTAAATATTACAAATGGAATGGAATTTGACTCTTTTGAGTGAAAAATTTGATAGTTTGGATAAATTGGTTAAGTGGAATGGACTTGGAATGGAATTGGAATTCTAAATATTAAAAATGGAATGGAATTTGACTGTTTCGAATGAAAATTTTGATCGTTTGGAAAAACTTGTTAAGTGAAATGGGCTTGGAATGAAATTGTAAAGAAATATTATAATGGAATTGGAATTCTAAATATTACAAATGGAATGGAATTGGACTGTTTTTAATGAAAATTTTGATTGTTTGGAAAAATTGGTTAAGTGTAATGGACTTGGAATGGAATTGTAATGAAACATTGGAATGGAATTGGAATTCTAAATGTTGCAAATGGAATGGAATTGGATTCTACCATGACTAAAACATTGGAATAGAATTGGAATTCTAAAAAACATTACAATAGATGGTAAAAGATTCCAGGGAACAAGTTTGGTACAAAAGATGTGCCAAAGTTAAACATTACACAACTAAACATGCATTACTACCAAAACATGTTTGAAAAGTTTAACATTACATACTTAAAATATGAAATACTGCCAAAATATTCTAAAAGTTAAAGATGGCAGTCAAAGATGCCAAAATAGGAAAAATAGTCCAAGATGCCAAAAGCTAATCCAAATCAAATGGATTGTTACAAGTGCTCCCCTATATCCCCTCCTACTTCTTTCTTATCTGATTTTTTTATAATTATTTTGGAAGGTTTCTTTGTCCTCCGTCCCACTACAACTTGAAACGTTGGTACTTCATATTGTACTTGAACTCTAGCTTGACCTTGAACTAGCACTCCAACTTCAACTTTAACTTTAACTTGAACTGGCACTTCAGCTTCTACTGCAACTTGAACTTGAACCGGCACTTCAGCCTGTACTTCAGCTTGAACTTGAATTGGTACTTCAGCTTGTACTTTAACTTGAAATTGAACTGGCACTTCAGGTTGTACTTCATCTGCACCTTGTACTTGTATATCATCTTCACCTTGAAATTGTATATCATCTTTAGATTGACCTTCAAAAGAATCCACTTCACTATCAGGTTTCGTTTTAACTTCACTGTCACTTTCCAAATCAACTTCATGTTCCAATTCACCCTTCAGTTTACATGTTTTTCAAGAATTGAAAACTTAATTCAACTTCCCATATGGTAAGTTACGCCACATATATATACAACACATAACATGTATTTTTCTTTCTCTTTCTGTGATGGTGGATTTGATAACTCCTCTGTTGGTTTTTGAGCAATGATATCCTATCGACTTATATGTAACAATGGACCCAAGTTTAAAGACTCTTGATCAATTATGGCTATCATTTAAAGATTTAATTTGGAATGGATTTTCAGAGGACATCCAGGTAGCCCACAACCTAAAGGGACAACCTTTATTCTGTTTATTCTTCTTACCTTTAAAAATTTTTACCAATAACCTCTGATTAACACTTTTTTCATACCATAAATTGTACCCATTCTTGACTTCACAGTTGGTAAGACATAACTTCAATTCTAATGGGTTAGAAAACTTCATACCTGCAATTGGCACAATTAGATCCCATTCTTGGTTCTCATCATGGAGAGGGAACACAACCTCCTCATCTTTTCCATTGTTGGCTTCATCATCCTCACTTATACGACCTGAATGTTTGTTCAAAAAAATTTCCCGATGGGTTTTGTCTAAAGCATGTATCTCTTCATCACGTTCATGTTCATATTTCGTAGTATCAGAAATTTCTGATTCCTTGTCATCTTCTTCATCCAAATTATACTCATTATCATTTGTTAACACCTTGTTATCAGCCCAATCAAGAATTGGTTCATTTTGTGGTCAATGTACACATCCAACTCATTCCCAGGGCTATAAATAGTTTGTACAAACTCTTAATAATCAGCATCATTGTCGATTCTTCTAATACACTCAGCCAAACTTTCCTTTCTACTATAGTAGTAGGTATTATCGTAGTCTCCTTTGGTTAATTTCGTAAGCCACAAAAGAAATTCTTTATACGTAAATTCACAAAAATCCACATCAAAAACAGTTCCTTTTACCTGGTCCAAGTATACCAACGACTTTGGCACAAATATCCCATTGTAATGAAAATCTACAAGTGTATACATACTTTTAGATCGTTAGGATGCCATTTTACAGTCAACGTCAACTCAAACCTTCAATTGCAAGACCTAATCTTCGATTTGTTGTATCGATTTTGTCACACCCCAAACCAGAATGACAAAAACGTCTGGGGGCGGATGGAGTGACTTCATGTACAATATCATAACTGTTGAATATAAATGAATCATAGCAACACAAACATTCATACATTGAGATTACGAGTTTACATTGTTTACAAACTTTGTTTGCTCAAAATTCAAATACAAATAACTGAAAAATAGAAAATGATGATGTAGTGACGCTTGCCCTCAAAATGTTTTCACAATACGTGTTCACTGATTTCCTGAGAATACAAGCAGTTTTGAAAAGTGTCAACAATTAAGTTGGTGAATTCATAAGCGTTTTGTATGAGTAAAATCTGTAATGTTTCCTTGTAAATGATAGCATATGATTTCCAGAAATTCCAATATTTTCTTAAATGTAAAATATGGTCTTAAAACCCTAAGGCTAAAAATGTAAGTAGTGTTGTACTGTAAAGTTGTTTTGTGTAGTTTTATTAATTGTATAAAACCGTTTGAAGATGCATTAGCCCCGTAAACCAAATGATTTGTTAATACCCTATGTGAGTTATTATAACCATACTAATACGACTAGTGGCCTGTACGGCGTTCTTTAGGCGTCGGAGCTGGTAGACATTTGTCACCCTAGACCTCCAGTCTAACTGTAGCTAACAGCTTGGGGTGCAGGGTTGTCAATCCCATATAGATCTATACACAAGTATCTCGCTCTCCCTCCAGGGGACTCTGGTTATAATACAGGACTTAAGGTGTACTTATGAAAAGTACGTGAATAGAGTGTGTTTCACAAACTGTACTAACAGTTTACATGTAATGTAGTGAAAACCCTATTTTTGTATGTGGAAGAATATCCCTTCCATAGTAGTTATATAGAGTGGCATAATTATAGCTTGAAATAATTATCTGTAATATGCTTGAAAACTGAGAACGAGTTTAAAAGAACCACAAACTATACCCATTATAGTTTAACTGAAAAAGATGTAGAGTTAGTATATGTAAACCCGTTTATATGTTTATTTACATAAAATAATAGGTTTAGAATAAATATGTCTTGGTTAAACCCATGAGAATATGTTCATAAAATAGCTATGATCATTCTTGTTCAAAAACTCATTCTTGATAGAAAATTTTCCTTTTACCATAAAAGCCATAATTTTTCCCATTTGTTCATATAATACATTTAAACTTGTTTTTCATAGTTATATACTATAACTTAACCATATTGCGCATAAAAGCTTGAATAACT